GAATTGCTTCTGTCCCGTCGTGGACGAGGAGTAGGCCCTAGGTAAGGCGTTTCTACTTATATATCTTATGTGTGATGGTTTTGTGGATGGTGATCACGAACCGGCTTGTATTAAACAATGGTGTGAGAGGTTGGTTTTAAAACTACTTTGCATCCGCTATTATTACTTTATTTGGAACTTGGGTTGTAATAATTTTAATCGTACTCTGATGTATGGCAATGTATTTGTGAACTCTATGTAGCATGTGGCATGTATGTTGAATCATGTACGATCTTGGTTGTATGTTGGTGATGAATCGAGACCCTTCGTGGTACTCGACGGACTACCGGGTTTATATGGGTTTAAGTATGATAGTACGACTACTTACAGCCTACCATTGTACTTATGTTCTTATAAGTTAAGTTGACGGTTCTTATCAGAGTATCCATCCCTCCCTGCTGCCGATCGGATCCTGTTTGTTTAGTGTTGCGTGCACAGCTGTTTGCTGATTCCAAATTGACTACATCACCAACTGCCGATCGACATGTAGTGCTCCCTCCCTTTGTTTGGGCCCGGATTGGACACTGATACACCCCACTGATGCTCGATTGCTCTATATGCAGTGCTCCCTTTGTTTGCTTTTTTGCCTATACAGGCCCCATAGTTAACTTCGTGTGCTCCCTTTCATGCTCATGTGGCAGAACCGGTTGGTTTGCCACCTTCTGTTTGCTAGAAATGGGGACCAATTTAACACTTCACTGTTATTATACAAATGATTGTGGGTGCTGTCAATTGTATAAGATTTGGGATTACTTGAATCACTTCTATGTCACCTTTAGCAGCTACTGAGGCAGATGTTTTTCAGCTGGTTAAAGTAAGATGCATATGCATTTGCTGTCTCTGTGGACAACTTAACCGATGACAATTCACATTGTACATACATTACTTGCGAACATAGCGATATGTTCACACAGCTAATCCTGTTTGTAGCGCTTTTTTAATGCAGATACTTCCGTGCCTTCCTACTGTCCTGACACTGTCATATTAGTCTTTTCTAACATCTGAACTTTGTTCAGCTAAAGATTGGGTATAGGCCTGGAGAAAAATTCAGTCTACGAGATTTCCACCATGCAGTAAATAACATACCTCTGGATGGCTTTCTTGCTGACCAACATGGTGGATCTCTGCCTACTGGAGGTAATCACAATTATATTGGTCCCATAATCTTCTTGTTTCATTGTTTGATGGGTACAAGATCAAAACAAAACTCAGAAGCATATAAATATTGTGAATATGCATGCATTTTAACAGGATAGTGACCTTCAGATGCAAACTTGCCTGATCCTGTTTCTTATGCACAGATGTGTCACTAGCAAACCTTTTTAGCAACAAAGCCATCTATTCTTGGGCTACTGATGACATCTCCAAGAAAGTAATTGCTATATGTATGTCTGTACAAAATACAGAAGCTCTCCGAAGATCTCTTATGGTATTAGCATAATAATTTATATTTTTTCTGAAAGGGGTTGAGTGATGCTTTCCCCCCATTAACTCCTTGATCTTTATGATAGCATCCTCTGATCACTGTCTTGTATTGTCATCAGGATGCAGCAGAACAGTGTGTTGCAGTGGATTTTATAATGTTGGAGGCAGGAGCTGCATTCATGTATGGTGGTGCTTCCGAAAATGCCAATTCTTTTGTAAACAGAATTTGTGATCTTGAAAACTCTGTAGTACGGAGATACAATCCTGGTAAGGCAGTCTCATGATATTAGTAACCATTTACTGGTTTTGTTGTTTATGTTAGAATAATAAGATGATCTTTCATGATCAACCTACAAATCATAACATGGTCATGCTATTTAGTTTGTTTGCTATATCTTTTTAAGATCATACTATCATGGAGTCACATTTTGATGAATGACTTACACAACTATCACTGCCATATTAGGAGTTCCTTACACTCAGGTTAACATTCAACACTTCTTGCATGTAAGGTAACCTAACAGGCAAACACTATATATGTTTGCTATATATTTGGAACTGCAGAGACCCAAGTTCTGCATGGGCTAGTGAAGAGGTGGTTAGAAGAGCTAAAGAATGACAAGGAGGATACACTGCAAGCTGTATTTGTGTTCAGAGATCCCATTATTGATTCTGTTAAACACATACATTGCAACCTGTATGCATCAGCAAACCAGATAACTGATGGTTTTCCACCTTGCCAGGTGATATGAGTCATTTTATAACACCACTCACTATTTAATTCAAAAAGTTCAGTGACAGAACATATCTGAGTCTAACGTTTCCCTTTCACTGCTCAATGCTCATTTTTGTGACTTGCAAGCATCGAGTTTGTTCTACATACCTATTTATTAGTGGAAGAATATGACTGATACTTGCATATATTTTTGGTGATTTTATCATCTTTTTTTTTCAACTTTTTATTTCCTTCAGATAATGGCAATTATGTATCCATGATTCCTATTCACAGTTCTGTAGCCTCTTCAACAGCTATGCTATACTAACGCAGAACACATTGACTGAACAGGCATGCAAGTGCCATGGTCACCCTATTGATCTTGTCACCCCAAATAAGGCAAAATGGACGTGTCCAACAACTAATCGACAGCTTGCAGCTTCTGATGTTATTGATACTGCTGTGAGGATTGGAGAACAAACAGTATTGTTTCTGCCTACTTCGGAAGGTAGTTCAAACTTGCAGCGAATCTCTACTTCCATTTCTTTTGATGTAATTGAGCGCACTGAATTAGCCTCAATGAATGAAAGTACCCACGACCGCCTTCTGTTCAGATACAAATATTTTGTAAATTAAATGACAACATGTGTTAATAGGAGTCATAATGGGGAGGTCTTGTGTTGTGATCCCCAGTTCAAACGATGTTGAAGCTTCTCTAACTGATGAGAGTTCAGATCAGAACATCCAAAGTTAGTATTTCAAGTTTATGTACTATGATGTATCTCTAGCTTCTCAAACGATACTGATATGTCAATATTATCTATGCTGTGCAGTTTTCTATGGTCTATGTGAAACTCTTTTCAAGCTTGACCAGGGACTTGTTTGCTCTTCATCATGTAATATTGAAACGATGAAAATTGGAACACTTCAGTGTTACTATCTTCTCCAACCATCTGAGAAAGGACCAATGCTTCTGAGGGTATAGGCAACACTCCCCCTGTTCTATTTTGATTTGTGATGTAGTGAAAGGCAAATTTCACTGCTTGTAGTAGTAGCCTAAAACCATATTGGATTGGATTCCTAACGCTGAATAACTATCTTTGTCATAAAGCTTCTACTTTAGATGCTTATAAGTTGCCAGAATAGAAAGTATTTTGTGGTCTGTTATCGGCTTGCGTTAATGATTGGAACACGTCATGCTGCAGAGACTTGCTGGATCTGAAGAGATATTGCCTCTCCCAGACATGACTCGAGATTGCAGCTCTAAGATTACCATGGAAATCAAGAATTCAATCGAAACCTCTTTGTCTAAGGTATGTCGCTCGATCACTAATTTTTTTCTGTGTTGTTGCGACTCGCCATCATCGAATAATTTTCACTCCGTGTTCTCTATATGAATAGTAGCTTCCTCACTTCATGCCTCTGTAAACTTGTTCCGCATACTATTAGCAGCTTCCTTACCCCACATTAACTAATATATCTGGCAACTGATTTCTTCAGATTATGCTCAAGGATTATAATCCTCTACATCATGAAAGAGGCTTTCATTCAGAACTGAATCGCCTGGTGAAGGACAGCCTGCAATTTGGGTACCTCCTCATCGGTTGCTGGTTATGCAACATTTTTTGTTCCTTCAGATACATGGTTTCAATTATTTGCTTGTTTTCTGTTGCTTGCTATCATGATCATCCTGGAAACAATCACCAAATAAGATGTCCCATGATTGGATCGACTTCATTTTGCGGATCAATTGCTCCATCCTGTGCCCCGAAGGACCCTCACAACGTTGGTTCGTTCAGCGAACCTCAGGTACCAACGTGTCAGGACCTGGAAGAAAGCATGTTCCTGGACCAACCTGAGGACGCGGCTGGAGGTCTCAACGACCATCTGCACTCGTTCAGCGAGCCTCAGACGGGGACATTCATAACTCCAAGCAAGAACAAGCTATCGATCCACTCCAAGAAGGGGAAGGTCTCTCCCAGCATCAGTGAGGAGTGGGAGAAGCTCATCATCATCGACGACCTCGACGACGACTTTGCCAGCCCCGCCCATCCCAGGCCTGCTGTTAACAAACCTTCCCGCCCCAAGCCACCATCTCCAGTGAAGCCACTGGATGAGAAGACTTCAAGGATTCTGGAGAGGCTGGAGCCCCCCAGGGCGAAGCAGCAAAGAGCGAACATCAGCAAGGCCGGCACAGGCGCGGCAGTGGCACCTGCCAGTAAACAGATCAAGAAGCCGTTGCTGCCGCGTGAGCCGAGCGGAAGCCAGCCGCTGCGACCTTCCTTCAACAGGCTTAGGAGAAAGCTCCCTACCTGACCTGACCTTGGCGCATGCTCTCCTGCGCTTAGCTACAGCTAATTGTGCAGATCAAGAACACACTTTCGCACCTGGGATCGTGAATAGGTAGCGAGAGATGATAAATGCACTTGAAGCCCCTGAGTGTCGATACTGGTACATTTTTGCTGTCAAATGTAAATATAATACAAAACCAAACTGCTAGTTGTGTAGATAGGAAGTATTACAAGCTACTGGCATTACTCTCTCAAATACAGATGAGTTGCTTCTTGAGACTTTCAGAGCATTGGCCTAAAGCTTCTTTAGGTCATTAGATTCAAAACCCATGGGATATGTAGCAGATTAGATGTCAACCTGAGTACAAATGACTACAACTTACCCCATCAGCATTTGGGGAGACTAAACTACTGATTAAGATAATGGTGGCTCTTGGGTCATTATACACTCTTAACGAATGTGCTACCAACTACGGTGTGCTGACTGAAGCTGGAGTACATAAAAGGTAATCAATTTCTGGCAGCAGATTTCAGCGAGGTGTCCGAACCTCCAACGGCAACATTGGGGATGTTGCGCTAGTGCTTGTCCCGCTCCTTAGCTGCTGCTCGGAAGCTGCAGACTTCAGTTCAAGCTGCTGTAGTTGATGCACGACATGCGACATCCTTGGGCGCACCGAAGGAACGTGCTGGGTGCAGGAGTAGACAAGATCGACAACCTTCTGGATAACTCCTGTATCCGGCAATTCCTGGATGTGTGGATCTAGCAGATCAAGATAGCGGTGAGACTGCACTAGAGGAGTTGCCCATTCAAATATGGTCTGCCACCCAACAGACTCAACTGACTGTGCAGGGCGACGACCGCTGATAATTTCTAGGAGAAGCACACCAAAGCTGTAGACATCGCTCTTTGTTGTCAACTCGTTCCTGTATATAAACTCAGGAGCAAGGTAGCCATATGATGCGGCCTTGACAGTTCTCTCATGCATTACTTCCCATGGCACAAACTTTGAAAGGCCGACACCCATCAGATGTGAACCAAATTCCTCATCGAGTAAGACATTACTTGCACGGATATCACGGTGCACCACCTGCGGCTTTACCTTGTCGTGCAAGAATCTGCATTAAATGGCCAGTAGTAAATAATAAGATATAGAACACTAATTGCAGTGAGTAGGGAATACTTATATAAGAAAGGCCTCAAAGATAAAAATAGATACAAACAGCTCGCATATTAAGTAGTTTGAGCTTATAGCAGTTCCGATAGAAGGTAAACACAACTTTTGAATCAGAAGTGTTTAGTGACTGTACAAATTTTGTGTATGACTCATCACTACAGAACACGTGTCTTATACCATAATAATTATTTATAGGTTATAGTAAGTTAAAAACAAGTATGCCAAATGGCCTTCCAATGCATGGTAGCTCGTAAATGTTTAAATGTAACCATAAATACAATAATAAATTTAAGCCACAAATGACAAAACAGAACCTAGTATGGTGCTGTATATGTTTCATGTAATATGGTAAAACCATAGTCACAGGAGTGCGGTCAGAGGAGTGTTCCGCGACCCCAGGGCATCATAACAATACGAGGGTTGGGGTTGCACAGGGTTGATGTCCCGTTATCGAGCATCGCTTGAGAGCAATAACGCAGGTCTCTATAAACCAATTTGGTTTCATGCCCGGAAGGTCAACCATGGAAGCCATTTTCTTAATAAGACAAGTTATGGAGCGGTCTAGGGAGGAGAAGAAGGACCTACACACGGTTTTTATTGACTTAGAGAAGGCTTATGATAAAATACCAAGGAATGTTATGTGGTGGGCTTTGGACAAACATAAAGTACCAACGAAGTACGTCGGGTTCATTAAGGACATGTACAACAATGTTGTGACTAGTGTTCAAACAAGTGATGGAGACACGGATGACTTCCCGATTAGGATAGGACTACATCAAGGGTCAGCTTTGAGCCCTTATCTGTTTGCCTTAGTGATGGATGAGGTCACAAGGGACATACAAAGGGACATCCCTTGGTATATGCTTTTCGCGGACGATGTAGTGCTAGTTGATGAAAGTCGGACAAGAGTGAATCAGAAACTGGAGTTATGGCGGGAGACTTTGGAGTCCAAAGGTTTTAGAATCAGTAGAACTAAAACTGAGTATATGAGATGTGACTTCGGCACTACTACTCGGGACGAGGAAGATATTAGTTTGGAAGGTCAAGTAGTGCCTAGGAAGGATACCTTTCGATATTTAGGATCAATGCTACAGAGAGACGGGGATATTGATGAAGATGTTAGCCATAGAATCAAAGCAGGGTGGATGAAGTGGCGCCAAGCATCTGGTGTCCTATGTGACAAAAGGGTACCACAGAAGCTAAAAGGCAAGTTTTATAGGACGCCGATTAGACCTGCTATGTTGTATGGTGCAGAATGTTGGCCTACGAAAAGATGACATGTTCAACAGATAAGTGTCGCGGAAATGCGTATGTTGCGTTGGACTTGCGGTCATACAAGAAGGGATCGAGTTCGGAATGATGATATACGTGATCGATTAGGGGTAGCACCAATTGAAGAAAAGCTTGTCCAACACCGGTTGAGAAGGTTTGGACATGTCCAACGGAGACCTCCAGAGGCACCGGTGCGTAGTGGAATCCTAAGCCAGGATAGTAACGTGAAGAGAGGCAGAGGAAGACCGAAGTTGACTTGGGTAGAGACAATAAAAGGAGACTTGAAAGGATGGAATATACCCAAAGACTTAGCCTTAGATAGGAGTGCTTGGAAAACAGCTATTCACGTGCCTGAACCTTGATTGCTTCTGTTGGGTTTCAACTCTAGCCTACCCTAACTTGTTTGGGACTTAAAGGCTTTGTTGTTGTTGTTGTTGTTGCCGCGGGGTCGTCAGCTCCAGCTAGAGATGCTGGGAGAAGCTGACAACAAGAGGCTGCAGCGAATCATGAAGGGGATTGAGAGCGTGGCGCTGCTGCCTCGGGGACAATGGGAGGTGGAGCTGCAGTTAAGAATTAATGGGGGAACCTGTGCTTCCGGCTTCAGAGGCGATGAGAGATGGTACTGTTGTGAAGGATTGAGGAGGCGCGGCAGTCCCCTGTGCTGTGGAAGGGGAGAAATAGATAACAGCAACAGAGAGAGGAAATGGAGGAGGTTGTTGTGCATGCGCGGGAGATTCAGTTTAGTGTTAGATGGTAAGGCAAGGCAAGGTAGAGATGGACTGGGTGGTACTGGTACATGAAATGTCAGGCCAACTATCCTTTATATTCAATTTCCTTTTCTTTATTTTTTCCTTTAAGGCATGTGATTCATTTATCTGTGGGTTCATAGGATGTATATTTGCATTTCAATGCTGCTTCCTACTGGGGTCAGCAGCCCAGAATACCAAGGGTCACATACCATGTCAATAAAAATTATCACCCTACCGAGGCATATCCCCTTCGTATGGTACTTTTATCAAGTGCCAACCCATGTTCCAGCGACCCCGTTCCTCCACCCGATTGATACAGATATCTAGTGACTATGGGTAAAATAAGCCATCCAATAATACATACAGATATCTAGTGACTATGGGTAAAACAAGCCATCCAATAATACCAAGACCAGGTTATGAAGTAGAGTGGACCAACACATCTTTTTTGTTTATGCAAGCAGTTACGTAAAACCTACATGAACACTAGTGCACAGCAAAATATATTCATAAGTATATGTATGGGTCAAATGTTAGTGGAAAATATAAAAGAGAGAGATTGTGGAACAAACAAATTGGATAACAAAAACAAATCCAGCTAGAACATAAGAAGCTTAGCACATTCAAAGACCATAATTCAATGTCTTGGAGGGAAACAACCTAAGAGAATTCACAGTAAGAACAAAGTATTTCCTGGGAAGGATGACTTACGCAATCCCCTGAGCAAGAGTTGTGGCAGCTCTCATTCTCATTGCCCAATCCAGGCTCCGCCCTCCTCTGGGAATATGATGCAGCCACACATCCAAAGGACCATTTGCGACAAACTCATAGACAATAAACCGATCACCATGATCATAACAACATCCTTTTACAGCCACCAAATTAGGATGATACAGCTTTGCAACTCTCCGAATCTCAGAGTAGAAGTCCTTTTTCCTTTGCAGGCTGGATCTCTTAAGTCTCTTGATTGCTACTTTGGATCCATCTGGTAAGATTCCACTATAGGTTCCGCCCGTCTTTGCGTTACCAGGAAGCCTGTTTCCCTCGCTGAAGTTCTTTGTGATTGATCTAAGTTCTTCACTAGTGAATACTTTCCATTGTGGTGCCACCAATGCGGCAGCTGAAGCACTTAACACTTCTCGTGATCTTCTTCTTTTCTTGCTTCGCCTATAGACAAGCAGCCAAACCACAACGGCTAGAGTGGTTGCCAGAATGAAACCACTCACAGCAATAATGGCTATGAAATACTCCTTGTGGCAGTGATCATGGTAGCATCTGTCCACTGATGACAAAAATACACTGTCAGTGCAACTACATCTGAATGCCATGAAAAGCAAACTAACATTTTTAGCGAAATGGGTAAGCCTTAATAAATTACAGACTCACCGTGGTTCATCATGCAAATCAGACCATGGGACTCACTGCACCTTTTTTCAGTAATAATAATTGAAGCCCGACCACTGGTCACCAAAGTACACAAATCACTGCTGGTGGCTACTTTGCATGCAGGATAACTGCAGTTGGCACGCAATGGCTCACCAAGAAAGACAGTCTCGCTCCAAACAGAGGAATCATCAGACCATTTCCAACCGTTACCAGTACTAGTGTTGTAGTGATGCCCTCCAACCCAGCATCCTGAGGACGATGATCCACAGAGAGACTTCACAAAGTTTAGCTCCTGGATTGATGATAATGCAGCCAAATGCCCGCTGGAGTTATGACAGAGAGCCTCGGATCTATCCCAGGAAAGGGAGGTTGATATGTACATGAAGCATTTGTTCTGAGCAGGGCCGGCTTGCCAACCATCAGGGCAAGATGCTGCACAAAATTGAAGATGCTGATGTCAAAGCTAAGAAATTTACTGACAGGAAAATGAACTAGAAACTAAAGACAGCCACATGATGATGCACACGAGCCGCATAACGAATTGGGAAGTAGCCAAGTAGGAGTATTACAAAAGTTGGTCTTTTAAAAAACATAAACAATATCTTAGGTGTGGACGGAAAATTGCAAAGTCATGGTCAGACGCCCAGACCAAAATGTAAAGAAGAGCTAAAGAGGAAAGTGAAGTAAGAAATGGTTGTTGTCTCTGTGTGGTGTGGTGAGGCAAAATCCCCATCCGAAACTAGAAGACAGATTGCATCTCCATATTTCTCGAGAATTAGCAGGTTACAGCGTACTATATACACGGTGGCAAACAAAATACTCCTAATACATCCGGGCCGATGACGCAAGCAACGAAAGAAACCAGCAATCGCGTCTCAGTTTTAGAATCGGTAGCCAAAACAAGAAACGGTGGATCTAGCTGCCTTCGAAGGCAGAGGGAGAAGGGAGAAGAGAGGGGAGGAGCGACAAGGAGAGGGCAACTCACGGCTCCGGGCCAGCGCAGGAGCGGCGACGGAGAGCACGGAGGCAGCCAGGAACATGGGGAAGGCGAGCGCGGGGACCGCCATGGCCCTCCCACGCCGTCGCCGTCGCCGTCGCAGCGGAGGCCGCTCGCTAACCCCGCTGCCTCCACTGGAGAGGGGAGAAAGCTGTGGTCAGTCGCCGACTCGCCGCAGCATAGGCCGACGCGGCGACGCTTGAGACTTGAGACGGGGAAGGAGTAGAAAAAAAAAAATTCTGACGATGACTGAAGAGTGAAGAATGAAGACTGCGCGCGTCATAAATAAGGCGCACCAAACCAAAGGCAGAGGTGGGCCACCCACTCGCACTCAGCGCGCCTTGACTACCGGGCAGGCGGGGCAGCAGCATTAAACCCCCGCTGTCCTCGCTGTCTGCCTCCGGGGCCCGAGCAGCGGCAACCCGGAGGAGCCCACACCCGGCAAATGGGCTGGGCCGACCTTTGTTTCTCTGGCAGTCCAGCTCATGTTCCTTTCTTTCTTTTTTATTGCAAGGATTAAAAAAACAGAGATTAATACTAGTACACGTTAAGAGCATCTCTAAGAGAGCAGCTAAATCGTTTTGTAAAGCTAAATATAGTTATTATTACACACAAAAAAAAGGTCTCCAACAGACTCTTCGGAATGCCTCTCCAAGTTTAGCAGCTCTTCGTCCCTGAAAAATCGCTAGCTAGAGTTGGATACGCAGCCTCGCTCGGTATCCGGCCTCTTCACGTGCTCAATGACTCCTTCCCGCGCGAACGCGACCTGTGCGCGCGAGCGAACTCCTCCGCCTTGTCCAGCAGCCGCCGGAACACCGGCATGCCCAGGGACGCGCCGCCGAGGCCACGAACTGGCGATGCTCCGCACCTTCGTACACGGGGGCAGCTCCTTCGCGGCACATCCATCGGCGCTTCAGGAGACACCTCCATGGCTGTGCGGGCACCTTCCACGGTGACGATGACTTCTGCAGGCACCGGCAGTGAGACGATAAGCACTGCCTTCTGCCGGTGCCCAATATGCTAACCGTTGTGTTGATTCGATAGAGCTGGATACTCAGCTGATGCGGTACACCGCCATGACAAAGCAAGAAAGAACTCTGTTCGCTCACCCTGTTCGCCGGCATGTTAAAAACTAGTCCATCACGCACGCCTTTGCGCGCGCCACGGAAATCAAACCGTGCATGTAACGGTGTTTATACTTTGAAGTTGTTGGGATGTTAAAATCTAGATTTTCCCGTCTTCCACAAATAAGATAGGCTACAGCTATACTAATCATCCCGAGACATAAACTTTCTCAAGGTGCCCTCAATGAAGCGGCACTAAGAGAGAAAACCAAAACTATATTAGATTTAAATATTACTTTCTCAGACCATAAATATTTTGCAAACATACCTTCAGTCACATTTAGGATAGTAAAGAAAGGAGAAACGGAGGAACAGTTTTAAAATTAGCATACTTTCGAGGAAGAAGCGGCCATTAGCGTGTGTTTTTCTATTGGGTCAAGGCATAAGCCGCCGCTATAATTGTAAAGCGTCATTTTATCCCGAAGCCACCAATTTATATAACATGAAAGTTTATCATTTTATTTTGCTGCATAAGGTTAAGGTATAGCTAGAAGTGGCACCGCTAAGTTACGTACTTTCCACCATTTTGTTCAGAGGCCACCAATTCAGATAGTCTGAAACTACATCATTTTATTTCGATGCATAAGGTCTTGAAGGCAGCGTCACCAGACCAATTAGAGGGTCAGCCAATACATAACCAACAGAGCTGATATCAATCGCAGCAGTAATACTCCGTAGCTCCAAATATTAGTTCAGGCGCCCTATAATACCGCGAGCAAATATACGATATGTTAGGCTCGCCATGGAATTGAAATGGATATTTCACTTTATTAAACCCATGAACATATTTAGCAGGAATAAACTAAAAGAGAGAAGTGTATCAATCTACTAGCAATCCCAAATTCGCAAATCTTAACCTGATGTGTACAAGAATTGACTAGGAAGGCTAATCAAGATGCAATAAAAAATTTGTTCAGTAGTTATCGTAAAACCGAACCAAAAAATACCTAAGAGATTTAAGCAGACACGTTTTTGGCAAGACGATATGAAAATGCCACGTACCTTTTTTTTTACATTAAGAGCAACTATAATCGTATATCGAATTTACAAAAAACCGTGAGCCATATCGTATATCAATAAACCATGAGCAACTATAATCGTATATCAAATTGAAGATAATCAAAGAAAAAAAAAGGAAAAAGCACAAAGATGTCAGGAAGACCGCTTCCATGAGGACAGAGGGCATTGGGAGAGGCACGTCCGACAAGGAGAGGTAAGGAGAAAGGGGGAGCGAGAGAGGAAGCGAACCTGCGAGCCGACGAAACGACGATCAGCCGTTCTGCACGGAGCACCTTCATCAGTTCGTGCTGGGGGAGGGGGACACCAACCTACATATATCAAATGCATGTAAGAGCCATGTCCTTAGAAAAACATGGCAACCTAAGCTTTACAGACATTGCAATTTGAACATTCCAAGATTTAGGGACGCTGACCTTAAAATCGGTTAAAATGCATTGAGGCATATCGTTTCTTCTTCTTTCTTCTCTGTGACATGGTCCTGCTGAACCAGGCTAAATAACAATTGCGGAAGTAGCTAGTAATGCCAATGTGAGAACCAAGAACTCATCTAGATTTAAGCATTAGGTAACTACACTTAGTAAAAATATCTGGATAAAAAATGGGATGCACATCACGAAACATCAATAAACAAAGAAAATGGAGTCCATCAGTGTAGATAAAGATAAAACTAGCATGGCATTAAAAATAGAGCATCATTCTTTCTGGAAACTCATTGGTTTCAGTTAAACAGGAATCTCCTGGAAGGAGGACATGGACATATGCATTAACCAATCAGTATCGTAAATCACACAAGGAAAAAAATGGCATAAAAAGGTCACTGGCCTTTCTGCTCTTTCAATGAATGGACACAATCCATTACGAGGAGATGACAAATCAATGCACAGTAATATATCAAGATTGTACATGTAACCATTTTTACTAACCTAGAGGTATTATTTTGAACCAACCAGCATATTTTAATTCAGGTAATAGCAAATAAAATACTAAAGGGAATAAAATCAGCAAAAGCTTTAGAATCTATTGTTCTCAATTGCCATAGAAATTATTGTGAGGATGAGAGGATCTGGGGGAGGAGCCATGGAACGAAGGAGAAGAAGAGGGCGAGTCACCATCAAATCCAGTCGCCGAGCTTCACCGTCGCTGCCGCCGCCGCACAGGCACCTAGGGTTTCATCGAGCAAAGGAGCACAAGCTCCCCAGCGGGAGGAGGCGTTGAGGCGGCCCAATGGAGGATGACGGAGAGGAGGGGGGTTGCCCCCTCCATGGCGGCCAAGATCGCCCATGGGGGCACTGTCGCTCGGCACTGCCACCGCCAAGCCTCGCCGAGCATCGGGAGGGAAGGGGAGAGAGAGGAAGGGGAGGGAGAAACGAAGGTGAGGGAGGGCGGAGGAGGAGGAGGACAGCTGCCGTCGCCGCTGTGCTCGGCTCGTGCCCGTCGCCCCTACTCGCGTCGGGACGAAGAGGGAGAGACCGACGGGGAGAGAGAGGAGGGAAGAATCTACAAGGAGAAGATGGAGCCGAGTATATATCTGTTCCACCGGATTCGCATGACAAGGCGCACAAGCTAGCAAAATGAACCCAGAGCGACGAGGAGCCGGCAGAAGCTGATTCCAACAAAAGCGGCTACAAGCAATCTGGGCCACACGATGGAGGATCGGACGGCCAGGAGAATTCGGGGCAACGTTGACACCCTGAGAGGCACCCAAAGTAACTTGCTTTGATATATTAGACTAGTCCACCACGCGCGCCCTTGCGCGCGTAGGCGTATCGCTTGGCTAAGGCGCTGGTAAAAAATATATGTTCAATCTAGCATGCGGCACTTTCTGCAGAGCAAGTCCGAATTAGGACGTTGGACCATCCATCACAAAAAAACTATGAATTCTAAATAAAGCTGAGGGCACTACAATAAATACCAAATCTATAAAATTGACAGAAATTTGTGTGTAACGTATAGATGAACCAAACTCGAAACAAAGCATAAGAAATTTAAAGAGTTGTTCTAGGCATTACACACATGTAGTTTTGAAGGTCATGAAATTCTCTTCCTTTGTACGTGGACATGAAGAGCATGCACTAAATATAATTATACATATGCATGTGTAGAGAAATTTTTATGAAATAACAGAGTGAATTATGGCTTTATTGTAAATGGAGAACCTGCATGAATAAAATATATTAAAGGGAACTGCGTACCTCCCGATACTCGGACTCAAATTTAGGCAGTTCGGATCGATTTGCAATTATGTTTGCCTCCACGCTTCGTGGCTTCTTTTTTTAAGCAGATAAAGGCTTAGCACATACAACTCAATAATAATATAGCTCACACCTTTGAAGAAATTGTCACTTGAAAGTAATTGAGTTTCAGTAAACTATGATATAGTCACACATGCCTATATACGGTGCAACAGGAAATGGTATTACCATATACAGCAAAACAATGTGTTCCTGCTTTCAGCTTATTTACTTCACAATGTTTCACCAAGTAGCTTAGTACTTTGGAGAATCATTAGAATAAGAACCGAGAACTTGTAGCCATTTGGGTTATCAAAATGGAGACACAAGGAATTCAAACGAATGATCAACTTAGATAAGGCATGTGCAACCTATTGTCACTATTTGGTACGCTTTTTTATATTGACCGAAGTCATGACCTTCTTTTGAAATTCAGTAGAGTTGTTGATTGTTAGACACAGACATATGCTTTTAGGATCAATGTATTGGAAGGTTATTTTTTCTCTGTATAGAAGAAAGAATACAAGATCGTTCAAGGAGACTCAGTGTATATAACTATCATTACTACAAATACATTCCATACTCAAACCAATAGTGATAGAATGTACCTTATCTAGCCACTTTCCTAAGGCATAAAGTACGGCCTGCACAAGGTCGTTTCTTTTCAGCAGCAAGAGTCTTGACAGGCACAATGT